GACCTGAGCCGAAGGCAGTCGCTTAACCAACTGAGCCACCCAGGCGCCCCTCTCAGAGCCTTTTGTTTGAGGACAGCTCCACAGACTGTCAGGGTCGGAATGGCCCTCAGGGGGCAGTAGAGAGCTACCCAGGGTTGACCAACAGATGCCAAGTCCTGGTTCTACCACCCTCCAGATGTGTGAGTCTGAAGAAAGGCCTCAGTTTCCTTATCTGTAAAATGGAAGTAATACTGGCTTGCTTCAGAAGGTTATTAGGAAGATAAAATGAGCAAATTGATAGGAAATGCTTAAAACAGAGTATGGCACAAAGGAAGTGCTCAAAACCAGCTGTTTATGGTTGCTACCATTATGATGAGTTGGCTAGCCCAACTGCGCCGCCCCCCTACAACACGCACACACACACACACACACGGAGAAATTCTCTCTACAGCATGCTTCCAGATCTCTAGGGCAGCACTAACCATCCAAGAGAATATCTGTAAGGATGGACATGTCCTATACTTGTATCCTCCAATATGGTAGCCACTAGCCATATGTGGCCACGGGGCGCTCAAAACGTGGCTGAGAAAGTGAATTAAATATTTTTTTTAAGATTTATTAATTTATTTGAGAGAGAGAGAGGGAAAGCCCGTGTGCACGGTGGGGAGGGGCAGAGGGAGAGAGAGAGAGAGAGAGAGAATATAAGCAGACTCCCTGCTGGGCATGGAGTCCGACTTGGGGCTCCATCTCACAACCCCGAGATCATGACCTGAGCCAAAACTAAGAGGCGGACACTTCACCGACTGAGCCACCCAGGCAGGCCAGTGAGTTGATCAATTTTAATGTTAATAGCCACATGCTAGTGGCTACCACAATGAACAGCTCTAAGGCGTGGGAGGCTCATTACCTCCAAAGGCAGTCCCTCCCAACCCTGGACACGTTTGACTCTTAGAAATTCCTTCCTTGTGCTATGACTACATCTGTGTGTGTGCCCCGTTCCTCATAAATGTAAGCCCTGTAACCATGGAGGAGTCCACACCTTCACCCGCAGGATGACCACACAGAGCCCCGAAGACCAGGCCACGCTCCCCCATGCCTGCCTTCCTCCTTCCCTCGCAGGGATGTTTTCGGGTCCCCCACATCCTAATCACTATCCATGCACAGGCCACCTGCTCAGCCTGGAAGCCCGCCCACCCTGACCACTCTGACTCCGATCAGACAGGCCTGGGGTCCAGCTCTAAACACCCACTCAACAGCTGTGTCACCCTAGGGAAGGAAGCCCCACAGCCTCTCAGAGGACCTTAGGGTCCTCATGTGAAAAGAGTAAAAACAGCCCTGACCCTGCAAGGACGACTGGCTGTCCGATGACTTGTGTGTCAGGCCACAGCACCAGCCGAGTGCTTACTGTGGAGGCAGCTAAGTCCCCTCCTGGCATTGAATCCCTTGTGATGCAGAAACTGAGACAGGGTGCAGCTTGATGTGGGGCAGTAAATGGGGGCTGGGGCTTGAACCCAGGTCCATGTGATGTCTGGGCCCGTGCGGTTCTGCCTCTCAGAGCCAGAGACAACGGAGTCCAGCTGCCTGCCTTTAGGTTTGGGAAAACAGGTCTGGAGAGGCCAAGGGTCACACCGACAGTAACGGGTGTAGCTGGAGGTCAGCCCCAGGCTGAGAAGATGCCAAAGCCTGGCTCTGGGGACACTGGCACCTCTGAGTCTCTCAGGATGAGGTTGTTGCAGATGATAACAAGGACATCAGGGAGTATGTACTGGGCACTTAGCATGGACTGAGCACTATTCTGAGTGGTTTATATATGTTAACCCGTTAAGTCCTTCCAACAATGTGGGGGGTAATTCTTATTTTATCCCCATTTTGTAGAGGAGGAAATGGAGACATAAGACAGCCACTTGACCAAGGGCATAGGCAGTAAGGGAGCATCAGGATTTACACAAGGGATCTGGCTCCAGAGCCCATCCTCTTCATAACCCAAGCAGGCAGACATCAAGTGTGGACTTGGCTTTTCCTAAAATACCTGTTTCCCCTGAAGTGCTGTTCTCACAGGGCTCAGCCTTTCTTCAGCACCCTGTGCCCGTCCTTGAACCCGGCCCCATTCGCCCACCCATGCTGCTCTCCCCTCTGCCGTCTCTCTAGGCCCACGGGAGCCTGGCGCGCCACCCCACCCCCGCCCACCTGTCTGCCCACCAACACACCCTTGAAGTCATCGGGCCGGTCAAAGCGCAGCCGGATCTGGTCTCGGAAGCGGCGGCTGCTCTGGCACACGCTGGTGACCCCAAAACAGAAGCAGGGCAGGCAGGAGGCGCTGTGTTCCAGGTAGAAGTGCCCATCGGGGCAGGGCCCTGCCGGGTGGCACAAGAGCGGGCTGCAGCCAGTCACCAGCGGGCAGCCCTGGCTCTCCCACCGCGCCCAGGGCCCGCCTGCCCACCGGCCGTACCTCGCTTCGGAATGAGCTCCAGAACACCGTCAGGAATGCCAAACACCATGCCCCGGGCATTCATGGCCTCACAGGTGTAGGCCCCCTGGTCTGCCTCCTTCACATCACGGATGGTCAGCGTGCCACGGCCTCCTTCGCTGGTCACTGTCACCCTGGCGGGCCCCGAGACAGAGGTGGGGTCAGGCCAGGGCCACCAGCCCAGCGTCCCCCATATTCCCAGGCCCTTCCCTGGGCTCAGAACCGTACCTGGGATGAGAGGGGATGTGGCCCCAGTTAAGCCTCCAGTTGATGATGGGGGTGGGGACGCCAATGGCCACGCAGGTGAAGGTCACTGTCTGGCCCCGGGAAGCCTGGAGGGACTCCTGGGGAGGAGTCACCACCTGGGGGGGCACTGGGGAGACCACAGTGGGAGTGAGGGGTGTGAGGGCAAAGGGATGGGTCGGGGAGGAGAGCAGGGCTGAGACTGGACGGGGCCGCGGGAACCCACCCCGGGACCCAGGGCCCACGGCTCGCGCCCCCAACCCCGGCCCCTGCTCACTGCAGCCAAATTCATCACTGCGGTCGGGACAGTCGCTCTCCTCGTCACAGTGGAAGCTGGCCGGGATACATGTGTTTGTGGAGACACAGCGGAACTGCGTGGGCCCACACACGTCCTCGGGGCGCTTGGCAGCTGGGGGACAGAGCCAGGCGGTGTGGGCAGCAGGTACTGCCCTCGGGGAGGGTCACCCCCACTCCCTACCTACACCCAACAGTCGACCCTGCCCACCTTCCCCTGGTGTCCCCAAGGTCACTCTCTCTTCTCACCCATGTGACACACAGCTGCCCTGATGAGACCCACACACCGTTGCCACGACACTGCCAGCTCTCACCAGCCGGCCATCATATGGCCATCACGTTACCCTGCCCCCACCATTCACGGCACCTGCACTCCCCAAAACACAGATATACTGGCACATCACAGTCACTCAGTTCCTTCCACACTCAGCCAGCCTCAGAAGCCCAAAGCGCTCCGTTGAAGGCACAGGCAAAGTGACTGGGATCCCTAGACGCCAGGTACTGCCTGGTGCAAGGTTCTCTAGCAGAAAGGCCTTGCGAGGGACCTGCCACAGCCCAAACTTTGCTGACTGGCCCAGGCGTGCCACCTGGGGACTGGCCAGCAGCCTAGGGTTGGCCTGGCACCAGGGCTGGGCCCCCAGCTGGGCATCTCTAGTAGATGGTGACCAACGTTCTTCCTCGGGGAGACTGACTTTGAGACAGACACACGGACAGGGACAGAGAAGGCAGAGTGGTGTAGGAGAGACCACAGGGAAGGAAGTGAGGGGAGGCCAGGCAGCCCTCTACTGACCAGCTCGGGGCCTCTGTCCCAATACTCTAGGAGTTCCCAAGGCCACTCAGCTTTCACATTCTCGGTGCTGTGCTCTGCCAAAAAGGACTCGTGGTCTCCTTCCATTTTTTTCCCCAGCTGAGAAGGGCTTTTCAACAAAAGCCCTCAACTACTTCTCCTTCCCAAGGGGCTGTCTCGTCAGGCAAGCTTAGAGCCACAGGAAGGATATCATAAAACTCTGTCAGTTTGTGGCACGCTGCTGCTTCTCTCTGGCACAGATGTGCGGCAGGGAAGGTGGAGGAAGGCAGGGAGGAACTGGACCGGTGGACAGAAGGAATGTCAACATGCACCCAGGCATGTGACCCGGGATCACAGAGAAGTGGGTTGAAGATTATCCTCCATCTTAGACTAACAATCCCCAGGCTTCACCTACAGGGCAGGACACTCTAGATGCTACCCAATAGGGTGTCTGACTCTCTAGCCTCACCCGTTTAACTGTCAGGACGTGCTTAACATTGACTGGAGGGATGGATGATGTCAGCTGGGTGGATGGGGTGGATAGATGGCTAGGAGAAAGGAAGGATGTTAGGTTGGTGGGTGGACAGATGGATGGAGAGCTGTGTGGACAGACAGCGGATGGACCGAGAGTTGGGTGAATGGATGGATGGATGCACGGATGAACCAATGGACGACGGAAAGGGGAGATGATGAAGAGCTGGGCAGATGGATGTCCAAAAAACTCAGAAGGGGAAGGTTTTGACTGCCACATTCGCCAAGAGTCACGTCGTTAGGGGACACCAGGCTATCAGGGCCTCTTGGCCACTTGTCTGACCTTTACCCAAGCATAAATAACGCAGAGAAGATCTATGGTAACAAAGTACAGAAAAGAAACAAGGAGACATTAGCCACAGGCAGTCTGGCCACACGGATTCCTGCCAAGTTCAGCTCCGAGCTAAGAGCCCTCACCACCGGGGGCAGAGGGAGAGGAACCTTCAGGTCTGTCCCCAGTGCCCTGATGCTCGGCCAGGGAGAGCAGACGGTCGTACGGGCAGGACCGGGGCGGGGCACACTCACGGCAGTCGGCCTCATCGGTGCGGTCCTCACAGTCAAAGTCCCCATCACAGTGCCACAGCTTGAGGGCGCAGTGCCCGTTCCCACAGGGGAACTCATTGGGCTCACAGGGTGGGGCGGGGCCTGGGAGACCGGGCCAGGTTCACCCAGAGGCTCTCCCCTGGCCACACCCCTGCGCCCCCCAGCCCTCCCCCACCTCCACCCTGCCGGTCCTCACCGCAGTCCAGCTCGTCGCTGCCATCCTTGCAGTCCTCCTGCCCGTCACAGATGTAGTCTTTGGGGATGCAGTGCCCGCTGTGGCAGGTGGCCTCGTGAGGCCCACAGGGCAGAGGCCGGCCTGGGCTGGGGACCAGAAGCTGGGGAGTGGGCATGCCTGGGAGCTGCTGTGGGGTGGTCGCCTCCGGCTGGGGCGCTAAGGGTCGTGTCTCCGCCAGAGCGGGGGGTACGGAGCTGAGCTCTGGGACCGGCTCCTCTGTGGACAGAGCCCTCCTTGTGTTGGCACAGGGTGGCGGGTGTGTGGCTCCTCACCCCTCGCCCCCACGCTCTGCTGGCCCTCCCTGTACCTCCCTGCCACACAGGCTGCCCCCGCCCTTCCCGTATCCCTGCCCACCTCCCTCAGGGCCCCCTGCCGGCACCAAACCCTCACAGCTCCCAGTGGACTTGGGGGCCCAGGTGTGCCCTGGCCCTGCCTGGTGTTTGCAGGCGACCTGTGGCCCTGGATGGCCCCTCACCACAATTGAGCTCATCAGACATGTCCCTGCAGTCAGGCCTCCGGTCACAGCGATACTCCAGGGCTATGCACTCGTTGTGGCTGTGGCAGGCAAACTCGGCCTCGGTGCAGACTCTCGAGACCTGGGGCACTGCGGGGGCAGGAGGGGGTCAGAGGGGCAGGGGCAGGGGGGCGGGGTGGAGTGTGTGGGCGGCACAGGCACTGCGTGGCTCGGAGCAGGCTTTGGTGCCCTGTGTCTGGCTACTTGGTTTCTGGCGGATTTCAGCTCGGCAGAGGAACACGGGGCATGGGCCGTGTGGCGGTGGCCTCACCCACCCCTTCCGGAAACCCCACACACAGTTAACAAGCCACACGCATGCAACCACCACATCACACACATGCAGGCCGCAAGCTGGCCCAGGGAGGACACGGGGAAAGGCAGAAGGGGCGGCTTGTGGGCTCTGCCCAGCCATCTTGCCCTCATCCTTCCTTCCCATCCGTCCAGAAACTCGTCCAGGTACCCGGCTGGGCCTAGGTCTGGCTTACACTCTCACCTGGTGTCACCGCGGCCGCCACAGCGGCCAGAGGGGGCGGGGGTGTCTGTGCTGGAAAGGAAGGTGTGGTCAGCAACGGCCCCTCTGGGGCTTGGGAGCCGTGGGCTGCAGGGCTGAGCCAGGCCCATCCCACCATCCCTAGCCAGGGAGGCTCTCTGAAAAGTGGGGAGAAGAGGGCTGGGCACCCAGCAGTCTTCAGATCTGGGGCTGGGGAATGCCACAAGAGCACCTTGATCTTTAGGTGCATTCACTGGGGTTTTACGTGCAGTATGAGAGAGGTGAGGGTTTCACTGTTTTTTTTTCTAACTGGGCTACACCACAGTAGGGTGAGAGTATGTTCAGTGCTGGGTTCCCCTGACTCAGGGATGGTGATATGTGGGAGATTTCCTGGGGGAGAGACAGGGATGGAGTTGGAGCCGAGAAGCAGAGCCTGTGGGGAATGAATGGGGTCTGCCTGGCCTTGGAGTCAAAGCAGGAGATGGGGTGCCGCGCAAAGAAACCCGGGCTGACCGAGAGCGAAGGCCACCCCTTTGTGTTTGATAGCTGTGTGACTGGAGGCCGGTTTCGTGACCTCTCTGAGCCTCAGTTTCTCATCTTCTCATCTCCTCTCATCAAGACTGGTACAGACATGGGCTTTGGTGTCAGTTCTGGCTGCCCATGTGAATTGGGACAAGCCACGTGTCCCTTCTGGGCCTCAGTCCCCCAATCTCTAAAACAGGAGGAATAGCTACCTCATAGGAATGATGAAGGCTGAATGGGAGGCTGGATATAAGGGCCTTACAGAGTGCCAAGCATACAGTCAGCATTCAATAAACATTTGTTGGTTATTATTAAATGCAAAAGTGTTTGGATCTGAAAGTACTATATGCAGAAGGGAATTATCACCTACTGTCAGCGTGTAGAGGTCTAGAGACGGGGGAAGAGCAGAAATTGGGTCTAACTGGACACATGTTCAAGGTAACAGATTATACTCAAGCCAAGACAGGGCTGCATAGAGATTGATGGAGCAGACTCATGGGGTAGTGAGCTCCCTGTCCCTAGTGGTGTACAGGCCCCACGCTAGAAGAGCCCATGGTGGGGGAACTGGAAGGGGACCCACATGAGTCTGAGAAATGAGGAAGTGCCCCAGGTCCCAGGATGGGCTTACCTGTACCCAGGCGACGGAACTGGAAGCCCTGGGGAGAGGTGATGTAGGAGGCAACGGAACCGCTAGAAATGACCGTGCTCAGCACCTCCTGAATCTGAGCCCCGTCCGCATTCCCTTCTGAGCCCACGTCCAGCTCCACAAAGACCCACCCGTCCAGCTCCCTAGGGATGGGGCAGGGGGGCAGGGGAGCAGGGTGAGGTCGATGCCTGCAGCCTCAGCTCCTCCCTCGGCCCCCTGCCTGAAGCTCAGGCCTGATCTCCTCTTTCCCTGTTCCTGGACAGCCCGGACCCGAGCGGGGCAATTTAAGGTCTAAACCGTCTCCCCAAATTTCTGAACTTCCGCCAACAGAGATCCACTCCATGTGGGTTCTCTTACTTCCCCTCCTTGTCACCCCCCTCGCCCCCACCTGTCCCTCACCGGCCCCCAGGGGACCCTTCTCACTTGATGAACACCACACTGACAACCTGGTCTCCAGGAATCTTCAAGTACTCTGACTCGAGCTGGTGAGCAACACAGCACAGTCAGCCTCCAGATACCTTCACCTCGTCCCAGTCCCGCCCCCCATACTCGGGGAGCTCCCGAGCCCCTTCCCCTTCACCTCACCGTGTCTACCACCGCCTCGGACACCTTCCGGAACTCCTCGGAGCCTGCATCCTCCAGCTGAGGGCTGTAGTGGATGGAGCGGGTGAAGTTTACCAGGGCCCGGAAATAAACTGCAGAGAGGAGTGGGGTGTTAACACGAGGGGCCCGGCCTGGTAGGCGGTGGCCTCAGGCAGCTGGGCCAGTGGGAGGAAATTCAGGGATGATCTCTAGCGTCCTCCCGCCCAGGCTGACACCTGTGTGTGCCCACAGCCATGCCCAGCACTGCCCGTATGAGCACTGGTCGCAGTGGCCCTGGCAGGCCTGCCCAGGGTCAAAGCCGAGCCCCCCACCCTCCAGTGAAGGGCTTCAACCATCAGGGACGTAGCCTGACCCAGAAGCTAAGCGATGGTGCAGAAGAGGCACCCCCCCCCCACACACACCATGGCACCACAGGAGGTGGGGCAAGAAGAGCTGGCTTCCAGAAGATGCTGGTACAGGGATCAGCACGAGTGACCAAGACATACTTCCCCACTCTTCCCCGGCTGGTTCTAGTTATCCCTCAGAGCTCGGCTCAGTCATCACCTCCTCCAAGAAGACCACCTGACCTGCCCTCCTCCCTCAACCTTGGCTGGGTTAGAGACCCCTCCTCTGGATCCCCCAGCCCCCGGGGTCCCCCCATCAGAGCAACTTCCACTCTGCACTGCATAGATCCTGCCCAGTTACACACGGACTGTAGGGTATCATGGTGAAAACCATGGCTTCTGAGGTCAGCCACACCGCAGGCACTGACTTCACTTCTCTGAGCTTCTGTTTCCACCTCAATCTAACGAGGATATTAATTACATTGACCACACGGGGAGCTAGAAGGAATAAACGACATCATGCTTGCACGCACCATCTCCCCAAGCACTTAGATGCGGCACCCGGCACAGAGCAAGTGCTAGAAATCAGGAGCTGGTGTTCCCTTTCTCTCCCGCCGGATGGCGAACCTGAAGAGGAGAGCAAGCCCGGATCTCACTCACCCCTGCATCCCCAGAGCCAGTGTAGTGCTTGGCACATGGCTGGTGCCCAAGAAGTGATGGCTGAATAAATTCATAGCAGACTGGTGGGGGCATACACATACGACTGCTTCCTAAGCACCTACTACATACGTGTGATATGTATCATGTTTTGTGGTGGTGGTTGTTTTTTATTTTTTTTAAAGATTTTATTTATTTATATGACAGGGAGAGACACAGAGAGGGAACACAAGCAGGGGGAGTGGGAGAGGGAGAAGCAGGCTTCCCGCTGAGCAGGGAGCAGGACGTGGGGCTCGATCCCAGGACCCCGACTCCCTGCGGAGCAGAGAGCCCAATGCAGGGCTCGATCCCAGGACCCCGAGATCATGACCTGAGCCGAAGGCAGACGCTTAACCGACTGAGCCACCCAGGCACCCCAGTATAATGTTTTATACACAGTACACATAATGTTCATGAGCTCACGTAGCAGTTAAAAACACGAGTTAATATGAGCTGCGAATGAGTCACACACATACATACACACGGTGCTTAGAAGAGAGCCCGGCATGTGGTAGATGCTGAATCAGTCTGCCTCATGTGCTTACAGTACACATAGACTAGCGTGTGCACGCGTGCACACACACACGCGCGCACATACACACAGTTTCTTGAGCCCCTACTATGTACAAGATTTTTCAGGCATTAAATCTTATAACGTTCATGAATTTAGGTGTTAATTATAAATGCCAAGTTAATGAGTTATAAGTGTTTAAATATGTATAAGTGCTTAGGGCAGACCCTGGCACATAGTAGGTGCCAGATAACGTGAGCTCTTCCTATACAAGAGGCCGTGTAGTTTAATAAAAAAGCTTAGCTGCTGGAGCAAAATGGCCACTTACAGCCCTATGACCTCGTGAAACACACTTAACCACCGACGATGTGCCTCGATGCCCTCATGTGTAGAGTGGGGGTAATAGTAGTGCCCACCCCAGAGGGTTCTTGTAAGGGTTAAGTTCAGAAACGTAAAGTACTTAGAACAGCGCCGGGTGCATACTAGGGGCTGCCTGGGTTAGCTGTAATCATCGTCTCTGGTTTTTACAACAAACCAGAGGGATGGATTTGGTTTTACTACCTCTCATCTGAGAGAGGCATTTATTCCTTTAACAAATCTACATTGAGGGCCTACTATGTGCTTGGTGGTGTTCTCAGGGCAGAGGGTCCGGCCGTCAATTCCACAAATGACCATTCCTGTCCCCACAGAGATCACTTTCTAGTGGGAGGAAAAAGGAAACAAGAGCAAGAAATATATGGCCTCTGGGGAAAGAACCAGGGCTGGGGGAGAGGGTGTGCTGGGGTAGGGGTAGGTTGCTATATTCCCAGGGTGGCCAGGGAAGGACCCTCCTCAAAGGGGATCCTTGAAGGGAGAGAGTGAGCCATGGAGAAGAATCTGGGAGAAGGGCATTCCGGGCAGTGGGAAGAGCAGCTGCAAAGTCCCGGAGGAGGAAGTGGGCTCAGAGAGGTGACCAGTGACAGGGCGAGGCTGGTAGGACAGGGAGTGGTATCAGCTGGGCCCGACTACAAGGCCCGTCCCCCTGCCGCTTCGCTCAGTCAGGCCCACAGGGGCACACGCCCCCGAGCAAGGACCCCCTCCGTCTGGGGCCTGGGCTAAGCAAGCCCTGGGGTGTTGGGATGGGGCAGGAGTGGGCTCCTACACGGAGAGAGAGTGCTTGTGACAGCGTCGCTGTCGGCTCTGAAACGCAGGGACCGCACTGGGCTGGGCTCCCGGGGGCCGGGTGGGTGGCGCTCTGCGGGCCGGAGCGTGGAGGCCATGAGCTCGGCCACAGAGGCCCCTTGTGAGCAGGCACAGAGGCCCATTGAGAGTCCCCCACCCCAGCCCCTGGCCTCAGCCCCATGGCCCAGCGCGGGCGAGGAGGCCGGGCCTCTGCCCAGGAATGTGCCCCCTCCTGGGGGAGGGGGCCGGGGCTCCACAAAGCCCCTTTTTCCTAGGCCCTGGGAAGGGTTCGGACCCTCCAGGCTGAGCCCACCCCTGCCTCCTCCCAGACCAGGGGTAGGTCAGGGCAAGTTCCTAGACCAGGGGTAGGTCAGGGCGAGTAACCTCCCTCTTCCACCCTGACCTGCCTCCCTGCGGCCAGTACCTGAGGGTTGGGGCAGAAGGTAAAGCCCTGTCTGTTCCAGAAACCAGCCCCCAGAGCTGAGGGTGTTGTAAGAGAGTGAAGCTACCTGGAGCGGGTATGCTCTCTGGGTGCCTACCCTGGCCAGCGCTCTCCCTCCTGGCCCTCATCTTGACCCTATCCAGACAGCTCACTTGGAGCCAAAGGCTGGAGGGGCAGGAGGCCGGGAGCTGCTTGCACCCAGGTGGGGGTGGGAAACATGCTCGTGACCACCCCCCGCCCCAAAGCAGACTATCCCACCAACTCCCTGCTGCAGAACTCCTCCGCCACACACTCAGACCCTGGAGCCCCAACCCCGGGAGCCCCTGGGTCCCTTGGGTGGGCCCGGCAACAGCCAGTCCTGAGGTGGGTACAAGTTGCCTGCAGCCTCTAGGGCCTTGTTCCCCAAGGGGTTGCTGCACTCATCCTTGCCCAAGCAGCGCCCGGGGTGGGGGAACACCAGGGGCCCCTGCCCACTGTGTTTCGATGGGGCCTAGCTCTGTCCTGGGCAGGGGCCGGCCAGCCCCCAGACCCCAAAAGAAAGTGCCTTGGAGCCTTGTGTGTGACTAAGTAGAGGCTGAGGAGGAAGGGGAGAGGGAGAAAGGACAAGGCAGGGGGAGGCGGGAGAGGGAACGGCGAGGGAGGCAGAGAGAGCCCCCAGGCCGCCTGGCCTCACTTACTGGGAGGACACTCCTCACCAGCCACAGGGGGGCAGCCCGCGGCCTGCAGAGTCGAGCCGCAGAGAGAGCGGCCGGGACGGACCCCAAGTGAGGGGAGCAGAGGGAGCGAAGGAGATGTGAGGAGACAGACACAGACAGACAGGAGGAAATGACCGAGGCACAGAGAGGAAGCGGGAGAAGATGAGAGCGAGGTGCGAGACACAGGAGGAAGGGAGAGAGGGGAAGAGACAGACGGAGAAAGACACAGAAGGACACAGAAGGATGACACACAGATGAGACAAAAAGGAGAGAGACGGCCCAAGGCAGGGGAGGAGGCGAGGAGGAGACAGAGACAGGGGGCAGAGCAGGCCAGACACATGAGAGATGGGAAGAAACTGGGTGAGGGGGGGTGGGCGGGGGTCCCAGAGACGGGGAGTCAGAGCCAGGAGCTGTCTGCCAGGTTGGGGTACCGGCACACAAAAGGTGGGGGTCGTGGGACCGGGCAGGGGCAGAGGCTGCGGGAGCCACAGCCCTGCCTGAGGGGAGGGCGGCATCATTTCAGGGGCTAGGATCCAGGGTGTGGGGCTGGGCCAGAGCCCGGGCCAGGGGCATGGCCGGCGTGGCCCCATCTTGGTCAGGATGGCCCCTGCTTCCCAGCGCGGGGTGGGCACTGCTCTCGGGCAAGGAGACCCTGGGAATGAGAGACACACTTGCTGCCTCCAGGCCTCAGACTCAGCCCGGCTGCCTGGACCTGCCCCCAGGGCAGCGGGCCGGTGCCAGGGCCAGGCCTGGAGGGTCTGAGGCCCTGTGTCTTCCCACGGATAGGCCCCACTCACAAGCACAGGCCTCTGCCCTGCTAGCAGGCCCTGCCCGGCTGCTGCTCCCCATTCCCCGCCCCTTCCCCCACCTCTGACCTCTCCTGCCCTCACAGCTGCATTTCACGGGGAGGTGGGCTGGCAAGGGCCCCTGATAGAGGGCAGAGCTGCCGCGGTTGATAGCCCCGGGGGGAGGGGCCACAGACATTTCCAAATGGACAGCAGGGACAAGACCAGGGCCTCAGCAGACAGGCCTGGCTTAGCAAGAGGCAGCTCCCAGGTATCCCGCAGCCCTGGAAAGACCTACATGGGGAAAAGCTTCAGGCAGGGTCTGAGTCCCAGGGGCTGGGAGGTCACAGTCAGGACCGGGACACGTAGGGGCCAACCCTCCTATCTGCACTTGCCCAGGCAGGACACCGCCCTCCGGCACGCGGATGCCCCCGACGCACCAGTCAAAGGGAGGTGACCCCATCCCTGGAGAGGCGCAGGCCCACCACGGTGGGAGGCACTGAATGCAGTGTGGCCGCCCAGTCGTCTGCCTGAGCTGAGCTCCACCCTTGGTCCTGACCACAGAGTGCTCAGTGCTGGCTTCCAGAGGAGGCAGCAGGAACCATACAGAGCTGCTGGGCTTTGTTACCCGGTAGTTCCGTCTCTACCCAGAATCCTGGGGTGGGAAGAAGCAGGGACTCTGAGGCCCAGTGCTGGCCTGGCCCCAGCTCCACTGTGCACGGAGTGCTGGCAGCGTGAGTAGCTGATGGAGGCCTGATTCTCTTCTCTCCACAAAGCCCAGCCCTCGTCTCCAACCCAGGAACCCTTGGCTTCCCAGCAGGTGACCCAAACTAAATGCAGGGTCCCTCCCGGGTCCAGGGTGAGGCTACTTCCACCCCCTGCCCACTCCGTTGGCCTGCCCAAATGTCCTATGCCAGAGAGCACCTCTACCTGGCCACCCCTGCCCGGGGTCCCCGGCTCTGCACCCCCGAGAAGGGATCTAGGGAAGGACTCCACAGTGGAGCTGGGAGATGAGAATTCTGCTTTGAATGCTGAGTGTCTGGCTTTCAGTACTTATTACAAGTGGGCACTTCCTGCCTGCGGCCCTAAGCCTCGTCCCTGGGGCACAGACAGCCAGAGTCCGGCCATCCCCTACCTTGCAGGGACCTGCCAATCAGGCCACATGACTGTCACTCGGCAAGCATGAGACCACCCACACGGCAGGCCCACGGAGCCCTTGAGGCCCTCAGCCCCCGAAATGGGACCTCTGCGGTGGGGAAAACCTGCCCTGGGGCTTCTGCAAGGGGGCAGGAGGGGACCTATGCTCTCAGCAACTTACCCATCTGAAAGTCCCCGCTGCCCAGGTCCCCGCTCCCCAGGCCATCTGCAAGCAGAAGAGAGATGTATTGTTGCGTATTTGTTGAGTACCTACCAGGTGTCGGGCACGGTTCGGGGCACCTGGCACATAGTGGGCCAGGTCATGAAAGCCAAGAAGTGTCGTCTCTTCCCCACGCCTAGGGAGGCTGGCTGGGAAAAGTCCACTCAGAAGCCTCCATCAGAGAGGGTGCGGACCAAGGCCGCACACTCCGGGGGCTTGACTGTCTGCCCATGCTGGTGGGAGGGGCCCGGTCACACGGGCCACCAGGGGAGGCCAGGAGTGCGGGCAGAAAGGGGTGGTAACTGTCCTCTACTGTGCCTTGTCCACCCCCTCCCCGTCGGTCCTCATCATCCTGTGCTGTGCCGAGCAGCCACCATCCCAGGGTCACACAGGTTGTAAGCAGAGCATCTGGGGGTCACTGGGACCAGGGCTTAGGATGCCCATCTCTGGAGGCACCCCCTTGGGCCAGCTTCCAGGGGCCTCTTTAAGGACCAGTGGGAAGAACCCCACCTCCACCCCCTTACCTCTTCCACTCCCTGCCACCAGAGCCCTCTGCTCACCTCCAGAGGCCTCGTCAGCCAGCAAGTCCTCGTCGTCAGAGAGGTCTGAGTACCTCCAGCCGGCCCGGCCCGCCGTGACAGTGTCGGCGTCCTCGGGCAGAGACAAGCCATCATACGCTTGCAGCCCGTGGACCACCTGTGGGAGATCACACAACCAAAGGTCACCTTCTCCAGCCCCTGCCAAGCCCAGGACCCCTCCCTTCACTTCAAGGGGGACCCAGAGTGCCCCCCCGCCAAAGCCCTGGAGTGCTAAAGTCAGACGTGGTTTGGCTAAGAGAGTCAGGCTGGGGCTGAACCGCTGTTTTTGACTCTGTGTCTCCAGAGCCCCATTTGCCCCGGGAGGCCTCAGAGCCCAACCCTGCAAATTCACTGAGTCTGAGTGAACCCTCAAATAACCAGAGAGTAAAATTAAAATCACTTTGGTAAGTGACGACTGACTCGTCTTCCTTCGGGGAAGGCAAGGTCATCCAGGACACGAGGTGGTAGACAGGGGGCCACGGGCAAGTAAAGGGTGACCTGGGCCAGCAAAGAAGGATGACCAGGGTCAGGGTGGATAGGGGACAGAGACAGAAATCAAGGGTGAGTCCACCAAAGCTGCTGTCTCTAATGACAGCTTCCCACCAGGCCATCTTGGCCCCTCTTTCGGCCTCAGTCCCTGGCCTCCAAAGCTCCAAGCCACAGGAAACACATTCCAGCCATGTTGGACAACTCGCTCCGGCGCTCGTGGCCACACTGACAAGCTCATCTGTGCACCCAGCCGCGGGGGTGGAGCCCAGCAGCTGGACAGGCATGGTGTCAACTCTGTGTGACCTCAGGCTGATGCTGAGCCTAGCACAAGTTCTACCCCAGGCTCCTGTACCACAGAGGGCCTGCTGAGACCCTGCGCCCCACAGGCCAGAGCAGAGGGGCCCCCAGCGGCCCTCACACCTACCTTTCTCAGGTCGGGGTAGGGGCAGTGAACACCTCTTGCCCCTCAGACAAGATCAAGATGTTTCCAAAAGGGTTTTATCAGATAACGTGGACGAAAACACAAGCCCAGGGGAGCCCGAGAGAACCCCAGAGCCCCCAAGCACCAGCATGCACGGATGTGCCATGGCCCCGTAATGCACGTCCAGCCCCAGATAACCTGGAGCAAGTGTCTCAGGCCCTGCCCTGGCCTCGGCCCTCCCTGGGGAGCCCAGCCCAGCCAGAAGGAAATGGTCTCGCTTTTGAAAACCAGACCCAGCCCTCACTGGCTAGACAAGGTGATGGCAGCAGGAAAGAGGCCCAAGCAGGAGAAGAAAAACAATGAGCCGGCCAGTCTCTCTCCCGCCCTACACCCGCTCCCCCCCCCCCCCCCCCCCCAACTTTGCCCAGCCCGTGTCCCTGTAGCCTCTGGCCTTTTCTTGAGCTAGTCCCTCCTCGGGAATGCCCTTCCTCCCTTTGTTTATCTGGCTAACTAAGTCACCCTCCAAAATTCAGCTAACCGTCACCTCCTCTAACAGCTCGGTAAGAAAAAGGAATGAATTACTGACATTCACAGCCACACGGCTGAAGCTCAGTTAAACACACGTGATGAGTGAAAGACACTGGACACAGAAGGCGACATACTGTGTGACCTCACTGAGATGCAACTCTAGGGGGGAAAGGTCTAACCTCAGTGACAGAAATGTCACTAGTTGCCTGGGACCAGGGGTGGGCAGGCTGACCGGGCAGGGACACAAGGGAAACTTTTGGAGTGACAGTTCCCTGGTTATATACATCTCGTGATTGAACTGTACCCTTAAAATGGGTACATTTTATTGTATATAATTTGCACCTCGAGAAAGATGACTAAAAAGAAAAGTCTCAAATAAAATAAAATAAAATAAAATAAAATAAAATAAAATAAAATAAA